GCATTGTAGTATATAAATGTATATTATGCTGCACATATGTATGTCATGACTGTATTTTTTGTCTTGTTTTTAGTTTTACCCTTTTGAATATCAGTAAACCTGTTGACAACGCTCATCGGTCTTCAGAGTGGTGATATAAGAAAGGTGTTAACGCCCCTGCATCAGACATGCACCCATAACGGCACAGTAAAACGGCGGCATCCGCATGAACAAAGATAACGCAGTCATCGCACGCTAGAGTGAAGCTGACCACTACTACGCCTCGGAGCAACACGGCATACAGCAGTGAGCCAGCAGTCGTCTAGTCAACTCCAACATGTCCAGCAAGGCGTCATCCCTCAAGACCCGGTCCGAAGCTTCGTGTGCCTCCTCTACAGGTTCTGCAGCTGCCAAAGCCAGAGCAAAAGCTGAGGCAGCCAAAGCACGTCTCAGCTTCGCAGCTAAGGAAATGGATTTGAAGGTAGAAAAAGCACAAATAGAAGTAGCAAAAGCTAAAGTTGAGGCATCCATCGAATATTTACAGCATGAAAAAGATGTAGCCTCAGCCATTGCTGAAGCAGAGTCATTAGAAGCAGCTGCTGCCGCACAGACAGAAACACGCAGCAACATCTGTCCCTCAGTAACAGCAGAACGAACTAAACAATATGTCATTGGCCAATCTGCATTTGTGAGAAAAGAAAATGATGCTGCTCTTCAACAATCAAAAAATGAAAATGTAACGCAAAGTAAACCAGAGATCACCTGTGATCAGCCACCAAGCCCTAAAAAAGAAAATGACCCACAAAAAATTCCAAATGGTCTACCAGATGATCCTGACTGTTGCCAAAAAACTCCAGTCATCTCCCCTTCTCCTCATGCTAATAAAAATTACAGTACCAATTGGTCAAATCAGGTGTCAGCATCTAGCTTTCATGATACTAGGCCTTTATACAAAGAGCCTAGAGAATCAAATGTGAGTGACTTCATCAGATACTTTGCTCGTCGTGAAATAGTGGCAACAGGGCTGCTCCAGTTTAATGACAAGCCCCAAAACTTCAGAGCTTGGAAACGCTCATTTGAAAATGCTATAAGTGGGTTAGATCTAACGGCAAGTGAAGAAATGGACTTGATGTTAAAATGGCTTGGCAAGGAATCGGCTGAACATGCAGAACAACTCAGAGCCATACACATCAACAACCCAGTCAATGGCCTCAATCCATCTCATCCAAAGACTTTGCAAAACTGAGAAAATTTAGTGACCTGCTCATGGAAGTGCAGTGTGCTAAAGCTGAAGGAGACCTCCCTGGTCTTGCATTCCTAGATACAGCAAGAGCAGTAAATCCAATCATTCAAAAACTTCCCTTCTACCTGCAAGAAAGGTGGATTACGGTAGGAGCCAACTACAAACGCACAAAATGTGTCTCCTTCCTACCTTTTAGTGTTCTAGTAGACTTTGTTGCACAAGAAGCTGATGCTAGAAACGACCCCAGCTTTAACCTCACACCATCACCTGATGCACCCAGACCAGACAAACTATCTTGGAGGGCAAACAGACAAAAAGAGATTTCTGTGCACAAAACTGATGTCATCTCTCGCACTAGTTCAGACACACAGAGGTCCTCAAACAAAACTGTAGATGGTGAAAAGCTTTGTCCAATTCACAAGAAAGCCCATCCTCTCTCAGTGTGCAGAGCATTTCGCATAAAAACACTGTTAGATAGGAAAACGTTCTTAAAAGAAAACAACTTTTGCTTCAGATGCTGTGCCTCATCTTCACACATAGCAAAGAACTGTAAAGCCAAGGTACAGTGTTCCGAATGCAACGATGAGAAGCACTGCACGGCTCTCCACCCAGGACCAGCTCCCTGGCTAAAAGAAACTGAACCAGCAGCAGAGCATGGCGGGGAGCCTGACACCATTGAATCAAAGGAGATCACTTCTAAATGCACTCAGGTTTGTTGTGTGAATGAAGGAGGCTTTTCATGTTCTAAAATCTGTCTCGTTAATGTCTACCCAGCAGGCCACCCAAATCAAGCAGTAAGGCTTTATGCCATCCATGATGAACAAAGTAACAGATCACTAGTACGTCCGGAGTTCTTCGAGTTGTTTAATGACTGCGGCCCTAGTTCCCCTTACTCGCTTAAGACATGTGCAGGTACCAAAGAGACAATGGGTAGAAGAGCTACAGGTTATGTAGTGGCAGCTTTAGATGATTCAGTCCACATCCCACTGCCTAGCCTAATTGAGTGCAAAAATATCCCAAATGACAGAGACGAGATCCCCACACCCAGTGCAGCTAGACACCACAGCCATCTAAAGTCAGTGGCTCACCTCATTCCTGCCTTGGACTCTAACGCCCCCATACTAATGCTTCTTGAACGGGATGTCATTAGAGCTCACAAAGTCCGCAAACAGATAAGTGGCCCTAACAACGCACCCTATGCTCAAAAATTGGACCTAGGATGGGTCATAGTAGGAAACGTGTGTTTAGGTGACATCCACAAAACTCCTACAGTAAGGACTCTGTTCACAAATGCAACAGAAAGGGGACGTCCCACAGCGTTCAAGCCATGTCCTAATGTTTTCAACATAAAAGAGAAACATTGTGGGATACAAGTTCCACTCAACTTCAGCCCCCAGCTGGCAGACAGTGCTTGTGAACCTGATCATTTAGGATGTAATGTGTTCAAACAAACCAGAAACGACAACTACATCTCACCTTCCATCCAGGACAATGCCTTCTTAAAAATAATGGAGGAAGGACTAACAAAAGACACAGATAACAGTTGGACAGCTCCTTTACCATTTAAAAATGCACACCGAAAGCTCCCTAACAACAGACCACAGGCCCTGAATCGCCTAATGTCTCTTCTTCGAACCTTTGAAAAGAAGAAAGAGATGAAGGAACATTTCATCACTTTCATGGACAAAATATTCCAAAACAAACATGCAGAGATCGCCCCTCCACTAAAAGAGGATGAGGAATGTTGGTATCTGCCACTATTCGGTGTCTACCATCCCCGTAAACCCATGCAGATCAGGGTCGTCTTCGACAGCAGCGCCAAGTATGAAGGCGTATCCCTGAATGACGTTCTGTTAACAGGACCAGATTTAAACAACTCATTGCTTGGGGTCCTAATACGCTTCAGAAAAGAAGCCGTTGCCTTCACAGCAGACATCGAACAAATGTTTTACTGTTTCAACGTGCGAGAGCAAGACAGGAACTACTTACGCTTCTTGTGGTTCCGCGACAATGACATTTCCAAAGAAATTGTGGAGTATAGAATGACGGTCCACGTCTTTGGGAACAGCCCATCGCCAGCAGTGGCCATATATGGCCTGCACCAATCTGTCCAACGCGTCGAACCAGACTGTGATGCAGATGTGAAGCAGTTTGTCATGCGCGACTTCTACGTTGATGACGGACTCAAATCTCTACCTACTGTTGAAAAGGCCATATCTCTACTCCAAAGAACCTGAGATGCACTTGCAAACTCAAATTTAAGACTGCATAAAATAGCAGCAAACAGAAAGGAAGTTCTAGAGGCATTCCCGACTCAAGATCATGCCAAAAACCTAAAAAACCTAGACTTTGAAGGTGATTCAGTGCCCATGCAGCGTAGCCTAGGTCTCCTCTGGGACCTAAGTAAAGACTGCTTCACCTTTTGAAGTATATGATGAGTCAAAGCCCTTTACTAGACGAGGTGTTCTATCAACAATAAACAGCCTCTATGATCCGCTGGGCTTTGTAGCACCAGTCACCATACAGGGAAAGTCAATTCTACGTGAACTTACAGCTGAAAATGGGGACTGGGATGCTCCACTGCCTCCCAAAATGGAAGAGTCCTGGACACAGTGGAAAGACTCACTCAAAGACCTGCCTAACATGACCATTCCCAGAGCATACACAGACATTTCCCCTTCAACAGCCGTGAAAAAAGAGTTGTGTGTTTTTTCAGACGCATCTACCAAAGCCATAGCTGCAGTGGCCTATTTAAAAGTGACAGATGCAGAAGGACACAGTCAAGTAGGCTTCGTAATGGGTAAGGCTAAGCTAGCACCACGCCCAGATCAGACTATTCCAAGATTAGAGCTTAGTGCTGCCGTTTCAGCGGTTGAGCTCGCAGATCTTATCTCAGATGAACTTGACTGTAAACTAGATCACACTACCTTCTACACAGAAAGTAAAGTAGTCCTAGGTTACATCTACAACGAGTCTAGAAGATTTTATGTCAATGTCAGTAATCGTGTGACTAGAATCCGCAGATCTTCTCAGCCATGCCAGTGGCACTATGTAGCTAGCAGTCAGAACCCTGCAGATCACGCCACTCGTTCTGTTCCTGCATACCAGCTGCCACTTAGTAACTGGCTCACTGGCCCTGACCTTTTGCATCAGATTCAGAGTTCCCTAAATGACTCCTATGACCTTGTAGAGCCCAGCATGGACTCAGACGTAAGACCTCAGGTAACTGCACTCAAAACAACAGCCTCAACTAAAGAACTGGGCTCAGACAGATTTTCTACCTGGAAATCCCTCACACGTGCTCTTACTAGACTAATACATGTCATCCACAACTTCAAATCACCACCAAGCAAAGCCAATCATTGTCATGGCTGGCATTACTGTGAAACGGGACTTACTGTGGATGAGTTAAACCAAGCTCAGAACCTTGTCATTCGAGCAGTACAGCAGGACGTGTATGCTGAAGAGATCAAGTGTGTGCAAAAACATGGATAACTACCCAAAACCAGTCCTCTCAAAACCTTAGACCCCTATCTGGACAAAGAAGGACTCCTTAGAGTAGGTGGTCGCATCAGAGACTCAAACATTAGCCAAGGTGAGAAAAACCCTCTCATAGTTCCTGGCCACCACCATGTTGCAGCGCTTCTCATAAAGTACTACCACGAACAGACCCAGCATCAGGGTCGCCTTTTCACAGAAGGAGCCGTTCGCTCCGTAGGATGGTGGATAGTGGGCGGTAAAAGAAAAGTGAGCACAATCATCCATCATTGTGTTGCCTGCAAAAGATTTCGTGCCCCGTTGAGCACACAAAAAATGTCAAACCTCCCTCCAGACCGTCTCACAACGGATCCTCCATTCACGAATGTGGGCTTAGATGTGTTTGGTCCGTGGTTTGTGTCTTCACGACGTACAAGAGGAAGCGTCAATCAGAATAAAAGGTGGGCTGTCATATTCACTTGTTTGAGTATTAGAGCAGTTCACATTGAAGTGGTAGAGTATGGGAGAGAATGATAGGTTTAGCACGGAGAATATTGGACTCTATGTTTTTTCAGCTTAAGACCACTAAACTCACTCATGAGGTTCTCGTCACCTTCATGGCAGAGGTGGCCGCTATCATAAACTCTAGACCCCTTGTCCCGGTTTCATCAGATCCAAGTGACCCCTTCATCTTGACTCCAGCTGTTCTCCTGACTCAAAAGGTAGCACCCCTTCAGGCTCCAGCTGAAAAGTTCACAGCATCAGACCTCTACAAACATCAGTGGCGCCAGGTTCAGCACCTGTCGAACATCTTCTGGGACAAATGGAGAAAAGAGTTTCTCCCTACCCTCCAGCCACGCCGCAAATGGCAGTCTAGCCAGCCTAACGTGAGCTTAGGAAGTGTTGTGGTACTCAAAGACAGTCAAGTGCCAAGAAATGAATGGCCTCTTGGTCTCATAACTAAGGTGTTCCCAAGTAAAGATGGTAAAATACGTACCATTGAAATTAAGGTAGCTAAATCAGATGGTACAAAGGTGTTAACATTAGTAGTTGTATTATTAATGGAGTTTTGCATATTTTATGTAGTCACTTTCTGAAGTGTGGATTTTGACCAGGCACCCCTAGTACAGGAATGTCTGGAACCAGCTCTCCTTTTAAAGTCTCTGATCCTATGAGTATTACCCATTAGGCAAACAGAACTTGGATGGAGCCTGGTAGGAGGCTCGCCCAGCTCTAGATGAAGCCATGCTTGCCAGGGTGGCCTTGCAATCCCCAAGCATCTGTAAATTTGTAAGGCCAGAGTAACCTGTAAGAACCCTTTGAGTGATATTATGATAATACACATTTTTACCTTTACTGTTTAACCATGTCATGGTCCTGGGTTGATGACCCAGTGTTTTGAGTTTTGTATCATTATTGAACCTTGATTTTGTCATTGTTTATCCTCTTTTGGTTTCTGTTTCTGTGTTCCATGGTTGCTGTCTCCCCTAGTCAAGTCCATGTCTGTTATGTTTCCTGTTTTACTTTGAAAGTCTGTGTCTTATGTCAGTGTATTGAGTTTTACTTCCTCTTGGTCTTGTCATGTCAGATTACTCCCAGCTGTGTTCTGCTCCTGCGTCTCATTCCCCTCGTTATCCCTCAATGTATTTAAGCCCTGCGTTTCTTCATCAGTGTCACATCATGTGTGTTTCATCCCTCAGGTCATGTCAGGTTTCAAGACTCTGTGCAGGTCATGTTCATGTCGCTTGTTCTTGTATATGGTTCATAGTTCTTTCATGTCTTAGCACAAAGTCTTGTTCATAATTGTCAAAGCCGTCATAGTTTTCACAGTTCTTAGTTTCACCAGTTTAGGTTCTAGTTTAGTTTAGCCACTATCCCTGTTGTTTTGTCTTGCCTTTGTATCAGCCACAATAAAGGCTTGCCTTTTGTTTAAAGTTCATTTCCACCTCCTTGCCTGTGTCTGCTCCTGGGTCCACCTCACTCTCTCCACCAGCAGACCATGACAAACCAATGATTAAAAAGGGAATGTCCACAATTTAGATTTTTGAATGTTAAATATTTCATTAAAGCAATTTAGCAGGAGCAGAACTGCAAATAAAATCATAAGAAACCTAATATGTTGTGTAATACTCCTATTCTGAACTAATTCTGATTTCTAATGGAATACATAGCATAGAATAACCCTTTATCTGTTCTTTAAGTCTGACGTCATTAGTCTGGGCCCAAACTCTGCTGCAGGTCCACAAGTCAAACGATCACTGTGGCATCACTGAGAGTTGAAAAACTGTCTAAATTCTTTTATCTGTAATAAAATGATCAGTGTGGCTGCTCTACCAGGTGCAACAATTAAGTTTAACATCCAGGCATCCATGAAAATGGAATTTGACATTTAACGGAGTTAGAAGTTTGCAGGATGTTAGCTCGCTAGCGTCCATCTAAATACAATATAGCATGTCCTGACTGAGGGAATTCTGAAATGAATTAAAACCTGCAGCTCTGCTATCACTTCCGACATAAATGAAGACAGAATACTAAACAGCAGGGATGTTTTGTAGGGTTACTAAAGTTTGGTTAGCTGATATATAACAATATATACATGATCGCTAGCGACACAGCTTTGTTAGCAGCATAATATAAACAGTGAAGCTGGAGGGTGAATGCTAACTTTTTCTCACTCGATAAAAGTTAACGTGAGGATTCTAGATGGTCAGGGACCAATGCAATCGCTTGACAGGATGCTGTAAACAGACCAAACTTCAGTCAGGAGAACAACTGAGATAATCCATCCGCAATGCGAGGTTAGTCATTTATATACCGTATTTATGGGACCATAAAGCACACTGTCGACAAACGGGTCTGTGTTCATACATAAGGCGCACCGCATTATATAGCGCATTTAACGAAACAAATCAGTCAGAAAAGTCAAACTTTACTCAACTCATTCCGCTTGCTTCCTCCACTTCCATGCCATTAATTCATTAATGGCATGGAAGGACGGAATTTTGGACCCAGATTACTATGAGCCGCGAGGCTCCTGACTATGGTAGCCATAACGCTTAGACAATTCATCAAGCGGTGCAGCTTCGTAGCTTAGCAAAGTCCTACTAAAATATTTTTTGACAGATTTTTGAGTGCCGTGTACCACATAAAATCAGCTCGAGGTCGGTAAACACAGCCAGAATTCATAGATAAGGCGCACCAGATTATAAGGCGCACTGCCGATTTTTGAGAAAATTAAAGGATGTTAAGTGTGCCTTATAGTGCGGAAAATACGGTACTGCTGCATGGGCTGGGCTGTAGTTACATCGTAAGGGTTTAAAAACTGAGTTTTAAAATGAATAGCGGTAATGAAAACCGAGAGAGGCCGACAGTGATCACTGACTATTTGTAGGGGCTTTTGGAGATTAAATATAACAAGATACAAAGCATTAAAATATGTTAAAAACACAAAAGCCGGATTTGTCAAGTCATCACTTAAAGACCGGTGTTGTGCCAAAAAGAGATTTTCTGCCAAAAATAGATTTCCCGTATTTGCCAAAAACTGATTACTTGTATTTAAACTGCTATAAATAACTTGTTGGTCTATAATATGTGAAACATATGTCACATGTATCCCTCATGAATGATATCACGTCATCTTGAGCAACAAACAACATTCCTGTAACAAGGTAGAAGCCGCAATCAGATTTTGGCAGTGACTTTTGTGTATCCTTTATTTATGCAGTTAAAATATATATATTGTTGACTTTAAAAATGTCTTTTTAAAGAGTAATCTGGCCAAGAGCACAGCTTAAATTGCAACAAATGCAAAAATAGTTCTGTAAACATATTTTAAGTGGACAATAGGGAGCTGAATGATTATAATGTAAGTACAATAACACAGTTACAAAGATACTTGAGAAACAGGTAATTTTTTAAAATTTTGTATATAACACCTTTGTAATACCTGTTCACCAAAGTCTATTTAGCAGCATACGTAACGATATTACACATAAAAAACACACAAAAACATTGGAAATCACTTTTTTCCAGGCAATCACTTTTTGGCACAACACCGGATTGCCAATGTACATGTACAACAAAATTGTGAGTGCTCCACACCAGCTGGGCTGGAATAAAGTATAAATAGTAAGACAACAGGAATAAATAACAAACATATACAATCAAGAGGGATATAGTATACAAAAAAAAAATAGAAAAGAAAGGTAAAAGAATGAAAGACCTCCATATAAATAGCTTGCCCACTCCAGCTCCTCTCCCACAGGGGAATTGTAGAAAAGGGCTGGCATTTATTTTTACATTAAACATAAAGTATGCATTTACACGTAACATATTTGACATAAGATAAAACAAAAACAACAACATGAAATCCGACATACCTGATAAAAAAGGTAAAAGAAAGAAAGGCCTCCAAGTAAATAATTTGCCCACTCCAGCTCCTATGACCAAATACAAACAGTGGGGAAGAGGGTTAGCTCAACCCACCACAACTTCCAAGCTAGCAAGAAGTATATATTCATGCTAGCATTTATGGCGCCTAAAACACATTTATGATACACACATACTACACACTTATAACATCTAACAAAAACAGGCTTAATAATGACAATAATTGAACTAAAATCGCAATCATAAACATCAGGGTGGCTAAATATGAATTATATGTGTGTTTTAAGGTGTTGGAAAGAAATGACACCCACCTCTCCCACAGGGGAATTGTAGAAAAGGGGAGAGGCAAAAGGGGTACACTGTATTTATAGGATTGCACCAAAGAAGAAGAACAAAAGAATGAGGAGGGGCTCTAACTGATAATGAACATAACTACAGGCTTGGAGGTCCTAAAAGTCAGGTATAAAAGGAACAGTTTGGGGGTTTAGAACACATTTTGTGTAATTATAACAAGATGTGATTTATGACCCTGTTACAAAGGCACACATTGCAGAACAGGTTGGGGTACGCAGGGGCCACTAGTGAGAACAGGAAGGCTACACAGAAGGTAACTAACAGTGCCCAAAAAATAATTGGCCATCACAAGTTTCAGTGGTAGCATAGCTGCAAAACCACATATTCATATAGGTTACTTCCTCTGATTCTAAAAAAAAAAAAGTATAACTGAAACCTTTGAGGCTTTTTACATTTTACATGTCCTGCACTGCAGAGCTCTCATAAATGATCAACATCCTTTCATGCAATGGAGGAAATTTATGTCAATCTCAAACATGACAACCCAACACATTCAACAAATCGCACAGGTAAGAAAGAAGTGGCAGAAACTGGAAAAAGCAGAGGTGTTTTAACTGTTGCACATTTTATTAGGTTCTCTATTTTGTTTATTTTTCCTTTCTTTTCAGGTCAAAGGAGCTCTAAGAGCAGTTTGTATTTGGTTATTATTCTGTCTCTAAGCCTGCTGAGTGTTTTCCTGTTGGCTGGACTTATTACTCTTGGTTTCCTCTGTGAGTTATGTTGGTCATTGATATCAGTTCTAATGATCACAAGCTTTTCTTTTTCATAATGAGTGAGGAGATAGACCTAAATGCAAATGTTTCTGCAGTGAGTCACAGGCTTTCTTCCATGACTGAGGAGAGAGACCTGCTTCAAGCCAATCTCACTGAAAAGACTAAAGAATTGGAGGGACTGCATTTTTTGTTCAACCAAAGTGAGTCATTGTATGAGGTGTTGTGTGTCTTTAAAAAAACTTACAAACACACATAAACCTTATTTAAAAAAAAAAAAATAGAAAACAAGAAAGAAAACAAGAAAAAAGAATCCACAACAAGTAGATCTAGTGTTATATTTTGTTTGTGCTTCCCCATTATTTAGATTTAGTTCAGATGTATTTTCGGTGTTGCTTTTCATATTTTGGCTGCAGTAACATATTGATCTTCCACTCAGCTTTAGACATGAAGAAAAATTATTTCTGATCAAATATACATAAACGTGTCACTTTAAAGACAGTAGTTAGGCTTAGAAATTAGCCACAGCCTTTTGGTGTGCTTCAGCACTTAAACAGCACTACAAAGAGGCAGGAGAATTATCTTCCAAGTATGCAGGCATTATATTTGTGGGCAGTCTCATTTGGCAAATGAAAAAGCACATCAGTGATCAACTATATCTGGTCCAGCTTTCATCAACAAAGTGATCACACAAACAAACAAAGTACAGTGTGTTAAACAGAGATCAAATAAGCATTGTTATAAAGTTCCTAAAAAATCATTCACTAACTTGCTGAAAAATTCCTTGTTGGTAATTTCTTCCAGATAAAAAATGTCCTGCGGGATGGACCAGGTTCAACCATAGCTGCTATCTCCTGTCTGAAAGCTCTGGTTCCTGGGATGCAGCCATAAAGGACTGCAGAGACAGAGGAACAGATCTGGTGGTTATTGACTTCCCTGAAGAACAGGTACAGTTTTTATGTATGTGTGAGTTATTGTTTTGTAAATGAATATTGAAATTAATACTCATAATATTTTATGTAGATAGCTTTGCCCAGTATTCAATAGAAATCAAGCATTTCTATCAACCTTTCAGTCTTCAACTTAGCACATATCTACACAGGAAACCCTGAAAC